GGGGGGTTGGCGGAGCAGCGTCCTTGCTTCATTCGGCTATTGCCGTTTTCGCATTCTTACGCGGGCGAGGGGTTTGACAAAAAAAAGACGCTGTGATGTGCTGTGATGTGCTGTCTAGGCACGCGCATGCTTGCTGACCGTCCGAATTCCACAGAATTCCCTCTCCTTACGTCTCCGGCTAAGCGCCCAGTCGGCATGCAGGCGCCAAGTGTTGATGTTCATCCTCCATGTGGTTACCTAGGCACCGTCAATGGTACATGGCAGCGAGCCGTGTGTGCCCAGGGCTGCCCTGCAGACGGGCCTGTTTTATTTTTGGCCTCCTCTCTCTCTCTCTCTCTTTCTCCTTCTCTCGCTATCCCTCTTGACGCCCGAGTTTCGAAGGGCTACCGGGCGACCTTTTTTACGGGAAGGGTCGCCCGCCATGGGCGCCCCGAGCGAGCGAAGGAGAATCTGGGCAGGGGGGCATCAACTTAGCGGTCGCGCCAGTCATTCGCCTGCTGTTCGTTGGGAAATAGGTGCCATCCCTGCCCTCTCCTCCCACCTTTTGAGGCGATGCGAAACCCCATCCACCCCACCTCCATTGACCATTTGGGTGGAGAGGCGAAAAAAAAAATTCAATTAACGCGAAAGTTCGCGGTGTGGGAGAAGGCGACGCGGCAGGAGGAGGCCCATGCTTGGAAATCGCCAGACCATTTCTGGCTTGCCCCTCCACGCTAGATAGAGATCGTGTGTTGCGCAGAAAAAAAAACTTTTTCTTTTTGTATTTTTTCGCTTCTGTTATTTGGGCCTGTCCTAGATCCCGTTGGGTCGGCAGGTAGCACCGTTCTGCCCTGCTGGACCGATGGGTCCTTGCTCGTGGGTACGAGAATAGTCGATGGGAATGCCCCGTCTTGGAAACGGCGCATCGGAAGCGAGGGACGCGGAGTGTGTGTGTGTGTGTGTGTGCACAGTACTCCGTGGTGTGTGAGTGTGTGAGTGACTGTGTGTGCTACGCTGTCCGCCAAAGGGATCTCCTGTTTTATTAGCTGGCCCCCACATGCCGAGATGGCAAAAGGCCGCGCCGGTAGCGTCGTATGGTCCGCATCTCCGTCTGAGGGACTTGTTCCGAAGGGGGGCATGGCCGCAGCAGCAGGGCGCGCGGGAAAGGGAAAGTTTGCCGTCGGTCTGCAAGGCCCTGTCCTGTGCGCGTGTCCGCTGCCATTACGACCTTGGACCGGCCAGAGAGGCCCAGGGCGTTTGTTCCGTCGACCGTCTGCCGACTAGCCGCCCTGCAAGCATGGCAGACGGAGAGGGAGCGAGAGGGATGGAGAAGAACCGCAAGCCAGCTTTTGGCTGGGCGGTCCATGCTCGGGTTTCGCAAGGTTGGAAAGGGCAGCGTCACACTGGGCGAGGAAGCCGCATTGCCCTCTCTGGGTTCGTCGGGGTACCCCCTTGCTCCGTTGCCGGTGCTCTTGGCCTCACTCTTACAGGGTCCCAGGTAAGCAGTGCTCGCTCGACTGATGGATTTCGGGGCAGATCTGGGAGGCGCTGGGTGGGCAAAGCCACGCTGGATGGAGCCTGGAGCCTGACCCGTAGGTACCGACTAGCAGGGCTACACAGAACCTGTCGGTGCCTCGGCTCGCCAAGCAGCCAGTCCGCCAGCGCCATTTTCCCTTTACAGACATGCACCTTGGCCCTGGCCCGGCTGAGGTAGTGTGGTGCGGCAGCCAGCGGTCGTGCGGATGGGGTGGGTGTGTGGCCAGGCGGACAGGCAGAGAGGGAAGGAAGAGACGGATGGTAAGCTGCGACCGTCTTTTCTTGGAACTGGGCAAAACCACCGGTGGCAGCACATCAAAACGAAGGGCTGGGCTGCCGCCGTGTCTCGCCTTGCATCGTGCAATGGCTCGGCATGTTGGAGGTCCTGAAATCGGGGATCGGCAGCCGCTTGGGAAAACTTGGGTAAAAAAAAAAACCCCCTCGCTCCCTGTCTCGGGCAAGTTCGCAAGCGTGCCTTTGTCCATTCCCATAGAATTGACAAAGTGTGAAACATTTGCCAGCGTATCATGGCTGTTGCTCGAAGCATGCTGGGATTGGTGGCCGGTGCAGAAAGCCTGCTCAACGTTGGCCACCCCACCGCCCAGCCCGTTAGAGAAGGCGGTGCGACGCAAGGGACGGGGGGGGATGCGCTGCCCTGTGCGCAACAGGATTTGCATTTTAGGTCGGTCGTTGGCCTGGCCAGCGCCTTTCTCTGCGTGGTGGTACTTGGGTACTGTCGCGACGGTTCCGGCGCTCCGGCCCCTCTCCTCCTCCTTGCTCTGGCACGCGCACTCAAACCAAGATACAATGGAACCCCTGATGCCTGATGGAATCGCTGATCGGAACCTTGGGACGGCGACGGGAGTCATGTCCTGGCATCGACTGGCAATGATGGTGTATTGCGACGTCGGCGTTTCGACGGCCAAGCCCTTGCCCGTATCGACTATACGCACCCCTTTTTTTCCTGCCCACGCTCGTGTCCACCAGTCGTGTTTCCACCGTCATGCTGCTTCCTGTTGCAAGCTCGGGTGTTGCTTCGTGACGCAAGTGCAATTGCCGTAGCGCAGGCGGGCGTGGACAAGGGGGAGGGAGGAATATTAGCATGCAAACAAGTATGATAATGTCACCAAAAACCACTATGTAAACAAAAAAAAACAAAAAAAGAAAAGGAGCCAGTGCTGCGCCGGATGCATCTCGCCAAACGGAGCGCCCATCCGCACCCGCCAGCTTCCCTGCAAGATCGGCTTACGGATTGACACTGGGACGGCTCAGGTCGCACTGTTCTGGTTGGTGCTCCACTCCCAATCCCTCCACACTACAGGCGAGATTTGCAGGCGTTTTCAATCAAACGGGGGAGGCATAGGTAGCAATAAACCACTGGTGCGCATGCCGTCTGGAATGCCGCCTCCGCCTCCGCCTCACTGTCACGGCGGCAACATGGGTTTATTTTTTCTGTTTGTTTGTCTCTGCTCCGTGCCAGTCCGTTGTCAGTCTTCTTTCCCTTTTCTGCTACTTGTCGCCGGAAAATACACAGTACCTTCGGCGTGGCTTGCCAGAACCACCTCATAGACTCTGATTGGGCGCTAGACACGGCTGACTGGCGCACCCCCCTGGCCAAGAACATGAAAGTACCTTTGCTTCACCCTCTGCGACAGCTCCGCACGTGTGCCACACTGTCTTGGTTCATTGCCTTCCAAAGAGGTTGGCTCACTCTTCGTGAACAGACGCCACCCCTTTCTTTGTGGATCCCCAAACATGTGATCATCATTGAGGGGAATGCGAGCCCGTTCTCCTTCTCACCCGAACAAGGGAGGTGAGGAGGCCTGTTGCCATGGAACAAGGGGCAGCAACAGCACGATTGATAGGCGAATCCGTCGTCCTCCGTCATAAGGCAAACTCATGCGCGCGGATCCGGATCCGTATGGCGAAATGATGCGTCGCCAGAGCCTGATGGGTCCCGGCTGCTGCCTCAGAGTCGAATACGGACGGCAGCATTGCGTACCGGCCAAGTAGAGAAATGGCCGGGAAGGACGCAAGTAAAAAAATGCGGAATACACCATTCCCGCTGCCCATGTCTCGACCGCTAAAACACCTGACGATGGTTTTTTGTTCTCTGTTTGCTTCATTTGACTTTCGTATTTCTCTTCGGGGCGGCGGGAAGGCTGTCGGCGAAATTTGACATTTTTATTCGATTACGAAATGACTGCCACAGACATCTCCGTTTCTGACCGCCGCGTCCGACCGCCTAGGCGCTTCGTTGCGTATGAATAAAGCGCACAGGGCGCAGGTACTCGATACGGACAGGGGACTTGCAGGGCGGCCTATCTGTCTCTCCTGGCCAGTTGCCCCTCGACGGAGCCCGTCAATCAATAAGGCCGGCTTTAGAGTCTCTCTGTCCTGCGCTGTGAGGGAATGTGACATATTGTTTGTCCCGCCCCCCACATCGTCTCGTTGCATGTCCGACGTTATGACTTTTGCGGTGGCTTGGTGCCGGCGCGGTGTGGTGTGGTGCGGTGCCTTTCGGTGCTGATTGCTGTCTACTTGTGCTGGCTGCTTGGCCCGGCTGACCCAACGAGGGAGGTAGATTAAAACTCATCCTGTTTAAGCCCAACGTGGGAATGGACCGGCCGACCTGACGGAGGTTTGTTTGGCTCCATTTTTTGGGCCTTTTTTTTTGTCGGCCGGCTGGCAAAGCAGGCAGGTCACTGTGTGAGAGGAACCAACAAGAGCAGCCGCGCAACCCGAAATGGAATGCAGGGAAGGCAAAGGAGGGCGAGGAAATTGAGGCGGGGGGACCAGTTGGAATTCACGAGCAAAAAGAAGACAGGACACCAGGCGGCAACACAATCAAAATCGGACGGGCCTCGGCCGTGGATGCGCAAGTTGGAGGTCTAACCGACTTGATTGACCAATTCCGTGAACTAACTGACTGGGCAGGCCTCAGCAGCAAGCCCGACTGAATCAGCCAGCCTGGAGCCCAGCAGTCCAGCCAGTCCCAGCCGAAGCAAGGTCGCTGTGCTGGAACCGCGTAGGCTCACGGGCCTGCCGGGTACGTACCTACTCGTGGCTGCGTCGAACTCTGCACCAAAAGCAAAAAAAGAAAGAAAAAAAGAAAAAGAAAAGCAAGGCTAAGGGCCGGTGGGCAGCGGGTCATCCGTCCAATGTGAGGTGGTCTTGGTCGGCAGCAGCGACCTCAGGCATTA